ATCCTATATAGGCCTACTATGGTTAAGAAATGATCTCTTATATTTATTTATTTTTTTCATTTAATTTATCGAAGCATAGCAATGTATTTTAGTGTATTTAACAGTTAGGGTAGAAATCAAGCCAATATCAAATTATAAAAAAAAAAGAAAAACAAATCCTATCAAAATGTAGTTCAAGTTAATTTAGAATGAAGTTTAAAATGTACTCTTCTTGCGTTTTTTTAGGCTTCAGTCTGGCGTTTATAGCGTATCCAGAGGCACTGGCGAGGGTGCCAGCCGCCCCTCTGTGGACCATCTTGTTCTTCGCCATGCTGGTCACATTGGGACTAGACAGTCAGGTAGGGAACTTACTAGAATAAGAAAAAACACTTGATTTGAATAATATTATTGTTATTAGTATTGATAATGTTGATGTTAATGTTGTTGTCGCTGTCATTCTTGTCGTAGTCGTCGTTAAAGTCGTCATTGCCGTAATTGTCACTGCCATCATCATCACCATCGCCGTCGTCGTCATCATCATGGCCGGCGGAACGTTTTTCAAAGTGGGAATATGAATCATGCAGATCTGGAACCAAACCTAGGCTAGGGATGGGGTCAATATTTTTCCCAAAAAGGAAAGGGGATCCGGGGGTCTTCCCCGGGAAAATTTTGATTTCTAGATGGCGAGAAATGATCTTTCTTGACTTTTGAGCTAGGTGTCTAATGACTTTGTTCTTCAAAATTCAGGTAAACTTTCTCATTCATTACAGTAGGCCTGCTATGTGTGTATGCATACATAAAAAAAAACGAGTACTTGCATACGTATTCTTTTTTTAATGAATTGATAAGCTCCAAAGAAAGGGGGAGGGGTTCCGGAGTAAAATTTTGATTCATAGATGGCTGGAAATGAGGTGTCTTAATTACTTTTACGTTCTTCAAAATTCAAGGTTTTCCCCTCTTGAAAACGGTCAGGTAATTTTTTCCCATTGTTATTACAGGAAATAGGGCTTATGTGTTTATACATATATTAAAAAATGTGAGTAGTTGCATACGATTTTTTTTCCATGAATCCATAAAACCCAAAAAGAAAAAAAATTGATTCCTAGAAGGCGGGAAATGAGTTTTCCCGACTTCTGAGGTGTCTTTTAAGTTCTTCAAAATTTAAGATTTTCCCCTCTTGAAAACGGTCAGGTAAATTTATCCCTGTTATTACAGTAGATAGGCCTAGGCTTTATGTGTGTATACATACATTTAAAACAATTGAGTAGTTGCATTCCATAAGTCCATAAATCCCAAAAAGAAAAGGGGGGGGGGCGTGGGTTTCTCCCCCGGGAAAATTTTGATTCCTAGAAGGCGGGAAATGAGCTTTCCCGACTTTTAAGTTCTTCAAAATTCAAGGTTTTCCCCTCTTGAAAACTGTCAGGTAAATTTTTCTCATTTTTTATTTTATGTGTGTATACATACATAAATAAATAAATGAGTAGTTGCATGCGTATTCTTTTTTCCATGAATCGGTAAATCCCAAAAAGAAAGGGTGATCCGGGGGTTCTCCCCCGGGAAAATTTTGATTCGTAGATGGCGGGAAATGAGCTTTCCCGACATTTGAGTGTGTTTTAATGAATTTCTAATTAAAATATAGAAAAAAAAATCAGCTCATGGGTCCTTATTTAGGTCTAGAATTCTTTTTTTTTCTTTTTATTTGTTGCCCAAGGGAGCGGTCAGGGGTCAGGACCCATGAACCCTCCCCCAGATCCGCCAATGTGAAGTGCGAGAAAATGTAACTCGGTCGGGGACTGGATAAACATTCTCCTTCCCATCCTTCTCCTCCTTCTTCCCTCTTTCTTTTCTTTCTCTTGCATTTCTTTCCGGTCATACAAAAATCTCCAGACATATATTTTTTGCAAAAAAAAGTGGGGCCCCCCGGCTCCCCTTGTTCCGACGGCCATGATCATATCGTTATTGTCGTCGTATCGTCAGCGTCATCATCATTATCATCATTATCGTCGTCATCATTATTATAATTAACTTAGTAGAATTTTTGATTTTATGCTGAATATGAAATGTTTTAATGGCTAGTGCTCGGTCGATCTCCAATCCCACGGTATTCAAAACCCACACAATGCTAGAATTATATTTTTGACTTAGTATTGAACCCAACATGACCTTCATAAACCAATTTGTGCATTTTCTTTCTCGGGTATGACAATATAATCATCATTAAGCGGTTTGACGTGTTATACACGCATACAAACAATATGTTTGTTCTGCAGTTATATATTTGTCCGGAAGCCTATATATTTTATTAGAAGAGTCCGAGAATAATAGTAAATTGTAACTAACAAAATACCATTAAAGGGCGCCTAAGAGATTTCTATGGCTTCTCTAGTCCTTCTGGAGTGCCACGATGGTACAGTGGCTATTAGTTCGGCTTTGTCCCAATGTACACGGTGTTGTTGACTGTGAGTGCATGACTATAGAAATCCACAAACACAATACTGTACATCAAGATATCGGATTTGTCATTAGCGATATTTGGCTGTCCATGTTTAATCGGACCTAGCTAAGCATCCTCACCATTTTCCGCCTTCTTGAACTATGCCTTTGGTTTATGGTCGTTCCCATCCCCCTATCCCGCCCTACTGGAACTATACCTTTGTTTTTGGTCGTTCCCACCCCCTTTCCCGCCCTGGAACCATGCCTTTGTTTGGGCGTTCCCACCCCTTTGTCTCCGTGAACAGTGGCTTTTGGTTTAGCCTTTCACTAGCAGTCTTCTCATTGGTCAGTTTATCCATCGAATCACCATCCAGCCTCTCTACCCAAACGTTATAAGTATTTCTCTGTTTGGAGTTTCTGCAGATATTATTCTCCTGAAGACGATTAAAGCAACTCAATCGAAACGTCGAGACTTTCTCAACTACAACAGTTCTTTCAGAACTACTTACGTGGTGTACCGCAAGTTTCAACATATATAAAGATAAATGTAGTGTTAAAATATACTCATTCCTTTAAGAGTTATCTTTTAATTTTAATGAGGTAATGTGGATGTTATTTGGGAACTCCTTGCTAATGATTGACATAGGCCTAAATATTATTTACAATTTGAGTCAAAATGTTTCCTATTATAGAATTTTCCATATACATATTGTCAATAAAGTGTAATTTTAGTTCTTGTGAACCGGTACTGAAGTCTTCCCAGTATTTCATCATCCTATTTTCACGAAGACTCTGTATAATGGCAGAGTATAATATTATTTCTTCACTGTGATTTTTGTATCCTCCTCTGTGCTGTAATAATAGGTCGATACTGCTTCATCCAACTGTTTTTTTTTTTGTCGCATAGGCCCTTCTAGGTTGTAACCACAATGAACTTTTCGCTTTCTCATAATAGGAGTAAACACATACTTCCCCAATCCCTATTTACATAAAGTTTATATTTTATATCATTATAATGTGTAAACTGGAACAAAGCCCTCGTTGTCTGGAGGTATGACAATCATATCCCACCAATCATATCTCACGAGTAAAATGCCCAGGGTTAATGTTTCTGTGGGAGTTGAAGTATTTCCTAATTCTTGGACAGATTTTTCTGTTGCTAATAATTATTAATGCATTATCTGGCTTGACATTCAGGGTTTTATCCTATGATCATGGCTATAAAAACAAGTATAATATAAATATAATTATTGTATAATATATTATCATAATGTGTGTGTCTGTACATAGTATGTATGTAAATATGTATTCAAGTATGCCTGTATAAATTTAGATACTATAAATATATATCTCCATTTCAAATCGGAAGTAGCTGCTGATTGCACCAACTGGTCTCAAATCACAGAATACTGTATATCCACTATCAATTAATTAAACAGACTTCTATTGGTCTAACCATAAAGTGGAGGAATCAACAGACTTTAAATGATGCTGATGGTAATGATGAATCATAACGATAAAATGACAAAAAAATCCATTTTGTACTGTAGACCTTGAATTAACATTTATTACCTTTGTAGTCACAATTATATAATATTATAATAACATATTTATACAAATGAATGTCAAATGCAGAAACTACAAAGTTAACATAAGGAAGTTTTATACTAATAGTAAATTTGAAACCCCCACAGAACTAATTTCTATGATACCATTGGTCTTGGAATGATATAAAATTTACTGAAGTCGACTGTTAATAAATAAAATATATATTTCTTGCACTAGAAATTATAAAAAAAAACAGCTACATTTAATAACTTAAGTTTAGTCTGCAACTCATTTTTTAACCTTAGTGATTCTTACAGTAAAATTAAGCATCAAGAACATCGAGGATTTAATTTGATACAGAGATGCGTTACTAATATATAGAGGTAACTTGACAAAGCCTTTATGATGATAAGCTGAATATTGCACTGAAGAAACATTGTACAGTAATAGGAGTTTATACATAATCTATATTAGTACAGTAAAACCAAGGTTCCAGTTTTTTTTTTGTTCAAATGCACATTACTAAAGATAAAATTATTAAGCAAAACCTGGAAAACTGCTTCATTGAATTGCTACTACTATACTAAATATCATTTACACCATAATATTATTAATAATCATTTACAACATAATATTATTAATAACAAAACAATAATATTAATAAAATATATGAATACAAATAATTAAAAAATGTAGATTACAAAAGATCTGTTCACAGAACAAGATTTAAAGCATGGATAACAAATCTGACTATGGATTGGTGGGGAAACATAATATGCATTATAATACAATATAATTACAATATATTTTGTACTAATATACATATAATTTAGCATAAAATATGAACAATACTAAAAAAAATAATGTAAAACATTGGTTGGTCATTTAAAATGATTAAAAAAACAGACATACTGTAAATTCCAGAAGCTTTCATTACCATACAGTGCATTCATCAGGTGATATGCAGTATGAAGCTTCTGGAAGAAATATGTTACTAGTCTTGAGTGATGTTCTTTTATTTAAAATTTCAAAGTACTGTACTACTCTATATGCGTATGTTTTTGTATTATATTAACATATTTCACACTTGAGCAATCAGCATTTTACTACTGTACATACAATATCATTAAAATCCCACCTTGTCTTAAGGAATATGAAACCAAAACGTTGTTTGTGACGATATTTTTCTTTTTAACACACCTAAATGAACACATATTTATTAGTGTAGAAATTCAGTTAACTTAAACACCAAGCTATTCAACTCCATAAACATAGTACTACTAATGGCTTTCCCCTTATTTTAAAACATATTAATCCATGATCAGAGATATATTGTAAAATACTTAAATAAAATACTGACACTTTATAATTAATTGCATAGATTTCATAATTACAGTAACATCATGAAATAGTGGGGTAGTAAATATTTGTTAGCCTGTAGAGTGCTGCATGTCATTTTACTATAATTAAAGTAGTTAATTCTATGAGGGGCCAACAGAACATTTTTCTAAAGCATTTTTAAAGAATTGCACAGTATGTAATAATGTATACTTCATTCTCTTTGCACAGCAATTACAGTAAATTAAACACTAGAACATAGAAAGTATTTAATGCAAGGTTTGTATTTTAAATGCCAGGTTTAGGTCAAACAAAAATTCCATCTCACAATACAAAGCTTGGTTTCAAAACATCTAAAGCTGAAAGAAAAAATAAATATGTATCATTATACAGGAGTAAAAAGATTGTTGCATAATTATGACATTTATTTAATCAGTTTATCATTAATTTATTTAGTCATCCATTTTTATATTTATTTAACCAAACAGGTTCAAAGTAACAGTAAAAATCGATTGTGAAATGTAGTGTAAAATGTTTGTTGGATTTTTTCCATGCTCAATATTTTTTAAATTATACATACTGTATGTAGGATCATGAATTGTGGAAAAGACAGGACAGTTCTTTGTGTGAGTGTATTCACCTACTGTAGAATAATTGAAAATACAAAAAGTTCTATTAGGCATAAAAAGCTTGGATTTAATTCCAATTTGACTGCTTGCATACAATATACATAATGTTTTTTTATTTATTAATTTTTTTTTTCTGTAGAGAAGAAATAGATTTTAATTATGTTTTTGTAAAATTACAATGCAAATTATCGCATTGTTTTACATGGTCCCTTTTATTATATCCGAAGTAAAATCTCATAACAAAAAAAATTTGACCAATGTTTCTCTAAAGTGATACTTACACGTGGCTAGAATCATAATACATGACAAAGTTTTATGTGAGAAATGGACAAAATGTGACCAGTAATAAAATTACCAAAATAATTAAATTTAACTTAAAATATCATCTTTGAAATTATGAAATAGGAAACCAAAAAAAAAAAAGAATGAAAACCATGTTTTTTTGTAGATGTGTGACCACATTTACAGTAATATTACCTCATTGACATGAGGGATGCAATCTTTCCAAGTAAAAAAACAACCTAAATTAACAAAAATATAATAGAAATTTCATTGTTTTTTTCATGGGACAGCCATATTATATATTGGTCAGAAATTGGTTTTCAATAATATTTTTCCACTGATAAAAAGAAACAAGATTATTGTATATAGCAAATTCATCAATAGCAGGATATCTGGGTATAATATTTTGAAACGCGAGGGAGACACATGGTTTTTAAAATTTAAATAATTAATGTAGGAATAGTTAACTGTTTCATTGGCTTGATATTTTTCAAGATAGTTGAACCGCAGCATCATATAGGGTACAGTAAGCCTTAATTAGTTTACCCGAAGAGAAAAAAAAAATCGTATTTAGTATATGCATGGAGGTACTGTATCCATGGTGTATGTGCAGTATGAGGAATGAACAAAATATAAAGTATTGCATGAATACCCTCAGAAATGATTTTGGATGTTTTATAAAACTGTTACTACTTTGGCGTATTACTTACTTTCAGCAGTCTTTTCATAAGGTGATTGGTTGTCGATATCAGGTTGATCAAGTCTCGGGATCCTCAATGTTTTTCGGTTAATACGGTAGCTTGTTCTAAACAATTTTCAGTAAAAACATCCTCGTTGGCAACTTTCACCCAAAATTCTTTTGTTTTTAATCTGCACTGTGATCTTCTGCCATGAGTAGAATGAGTACAGTAGGTAAGAGTCCATCTCAAAAGATATTAATTATTAAGTCTGATGTATGGAATTCTCAAAACAAGTCCACACCAAAAGGGGGGCCGAAATTTGGGCCGATCGAGACAACAATGACCTAATTTTTGTGTTCTAGACGCCCGAAAATACGGTAACATTTTAGGCGTTGTGGGCTATCATTTTTTTCCTTTTCTTTCTTTTTTTCTTTTTTTTTTTCTTTTTTTACCTCCCAAAGGGGGGGGGGGGCTAAATCCGCCCCTGAACATCGATATTCTTTTAACACAACAGCGTTTCAAGACAGCGTTGATTGAAGATCTTTATGCGCTTTGTCTGTATTTGAGGTGTATTCTAAACCTCTAACTTATGTAATGTCAGTACAGCTCTGTAGATGCGAATCTTGTAAAGGTTTGTATGTTGTGACTGTTTCATAAATTTCTTTAAGAAAAAAATCAAAAAACAACAAATTATATTTAAATACGAATATTCCTTTAAAATACTCTCTCACTTGGCCTTCCTACTGTACTAATGCTATCTGGCGGCGGTTCGTTCGTCAACGATATACTACGGGTAAGTCATAAAAAAGTATCATGAATTTAGTTTGTGAATGCAATATACATACTATAATATAATTAATTATAATTTACAATACAGTATAATACTAATTTTAAAATAGTATATTTTATTTATTTTTTTTTATTTTTAATAAAATAACATACAGTAGGCATGGCCTATATGGCGAGTTGGATAAACGAACAGTTAAGGGTGGAAACCTCCACGTACAGTTATAATATCGGATTGGTTAGAATGGCACGTACGCCTAGGTTCTGGTTGTGAAACAGTTCTTCACGGATAAGGACTATAAACCGTAGATCCAGTGTAATTACTTTCGAGACGAGTAGGGGGCTTACCCTGGCATACTGGTCCATTTAGCCCCTACTGAAGAGTGTCCCGGTTTACCGGGTAGCTCAGACACGTAGAGACCCTTAAGGGAGAAGCAAGTTACATATGGTAAAGAGCCGTCCACACATTGAGTGCTTTGAGACCATTTCGGTGTGAAGCGCTTTACAGTATATAAGTATTTACTGTACTATACTGTACATATACTAAAATGTTCAAATCAATCATCGTAGAAGCCTCAAAGCCTTAAAATAAGTTGGCTATTTTGTCACTTTTACTGGGTCATTTTGTAACAAAAATGAGCAAATTGGTGGCGAAGTACTTGAAGCTACAGTAACAAATCACCTCAGCCCCAAAAGACAGGACCCTACCTTGCCAATATACCAGGATTAGCAGGCTGGAGCCGTAGAGACCAGCCCAGACTGTAACCTTTTACTGTTCAATCAAGTTGAATAGGGCCGGGCACCTACATATTTATAACTCTATTCCTCAATCCTACTACTTATGCAGACTGGGGCTAGGCCTAACTTGAGCCTCCTCAGGCCTGTCCCAATGTAGGCCTAAGCTAGGTAGGCTGGATAGAGCCTGATAAAGCACCCTTCTTGTTGACTGTGTTGTTAAAGATTTTTGGAGAAAACATTCTAGGCCTACCTGTATACTGTAGTTTTATATATTTTCTTAATTTTGAAATACACAAAAGCTAGGCCCAGGTCTTGTCCCTACACAAAAGTAAATCTTCCATGTGTTGGGGTTTTTAAAATACATTAAAAAAAAACAGTATATATTTATAAACTTGTTAACACTATATTTTAATTTATACAAATATTTTATTTAATTAATAATAAGATTTGTTTCAAACAATAGAAATCCATTATTGGAGTAGTGGGTGACGCCCTCTCGGTATGCCTATCCGTTAGTACTAGAGAAAAGGTTAGTGAAGTGGTTAGTTGCTAACGGAGATCATTAATGACCAATGACGAAAGTTAACAGATAGTCAATTGCATTACTTCTCACAAGTTAACAATTACTTATGTACTAATTGCAGAATCGGGTGCTTTGGTTGGCTTATGTGATCTACACAACATGTCTAGAAAATGGCATTAACTTGAAGGTAGAGTGAATTACTCGATCATTAAATGAGAAGCTGAGCTGCTGATAGCTTTAGTCGCATTGTTCATTATGATGATTGGGCAATCCTTTATCGTAGGTAGATGTGATCCTTTGTTTCATCTAAACCAATTCCTCCATGGTTTCATGAACGTTCTTCTGAATTTCATACGATTGCTCTACGATTGTCCTGTGCGTAACATGTGGATATTAAGTTTTTTTTTTCAAATCGAAATATTAATGAATGAGGTTGCAGAAATGTGATAATTCTAGTGTTAATTTTTGATTTTCCGTACATGTGATGCGGCTGCAGAGCCTTGATAATACTGGTGACATTATATTTTTTTTTGCTATAAGGCTGCTAAGCCATGAGAATACTTGTTATTTTCTTTGAGATGAGGCTGCACAGCCATGAGAATACATGTTATATTATTTTATTTGAGACAAGGCTACCATAACCAATACTGGTGAATGTACTTTTGTAAGATGAGACGTCAGCGCCATGATAATACTAGTGAGGGTACTGTATGCATGAAGTTGAGTAAATATGGATAATAAAGATTGTTTGCATAAACCTATAGACATTTATTACGAGATGTTTTATTTTTGTTTAAAAAATTGTGTTTGTACTCAGATACACGGTGATTTATACATGGTGATTAGCGGTACGTATCTTTTCCCAGGTTGTTTGGCAGATACGGACAAGTTCAGTTTACAGATCCTGTTAAGAAGGAACTGTGTTCTAGACTACCGGAGGTGCTTATGAGGGATCGGACACTTATTATTGCTACTACTAACATTTTGATGTACAAGATATATTATTTGAGTATATTGTCTTATTTATAACGATATTATCACCGCATTGGACTGACGTGACCTGTCTGATCTAGCTCTTACAATGAGTTGCGGAATTCAATTGTCCAATGAATAATTTATTCAAGAGACATAGACATAGGATCCCTGAATAGAAATATGCAGGATATAAAATTAAAATATACCAACGCCATATTACTTCTTTCTGTATACATATTTCCACACTAGATCTGTAAAGAAAGGAAACAGTATTATAATGGTCCGCAATATCATCCATCTGTAGAGACTGAATGGTGGAAGAGCAACTCATTTAGTTTGCATTGTCACTGAATTAAAAGTAGGCGCCATGCTTAACAATAGATTCGCCTCCAAAAAAAAAAAGAGTCAAATAAATTATTTGGTGGTGAGCCAAAAACAGCTTGGACTAGGCCTATTACAAAATGACAGTTCAAAATACTATGGCAGTATTGTGAACAATAGCTACTTAGGCCTACCCAAATGTATAATAAATTCAGTTCAATCGTATCCAGCTAAACCACACAAACATGAAAATTAGCATAACAGTGCATTGCATGCCCAATGCTAAAAAATAATGTCATTGATTCTTGTGGTATATGAGAGGCTTCAGGTGATTCACAGTTAGATCGCTTAAAACCCAATCCAATTTTAGTCCCAGTTTAACAGTTGAATCAGCAGGATTTAAACACGTCAAACTGAGACAGATTTTGTTCCTTAATTTAGAAATTGTGTCTATTGGTAGAGTATAGTTGGATTCTTAAGAAGAAGCTTATAACAAGAGGCACAAACATGGCCCATAAGGTGAGTTTAATTGCTTTTAATCGTTGACTACATTGACAGAAATTGTCGATCTCATCTAAAACTATCATGATAAAATCATCGTAATAAAACGAGCACTAATAATCAATAAATATGTCTAATAATTAAAACATATTTACTTTTGAAGTCATAGGTCTAATGGTTTTTAAAATGTTTACATTTGTAATGATTGGAGGGTTTGATGGAGTGTTTCTATACAAACGCCAGCGTCCGTAGAATTAGAAAACACTGAGGTAGAAACTGATAGCCTTTTGTGGCCTTCTTTTGGCCTGACTAACAATGGCTACTCCTCAGAAAGATGGTAATCGAGATGGTGTTTTATGTTAAGTGACTTAAGCCTTTATCTAGCTATAATTGACTGATTCACGTCGAACTTTTAACTAGTTAAGTGGATGTATATCTAGATAAAAGTTCGACGTGAACCAGGCTATGCACCTATCATATATCCCCTACTTACTTAGGAAGATATTAGTTCTGACACCACCTCTGGTTGTCGTAAAGCTGATCTTAAATTCTTACATTCGATTGATATATTTGGAAGACTTTGGATGCCAGTATAGAATCCATTAAAGAGTCCCTTGATTAAATATTGTTCTGGCTTGTTGTCTGGATAGTCTTTTAGCAACATTTGAAGTTCATTTATGTATATTGGTGTTTTGATAGATAAGTCATAGTTTGAAGTGCTTCCTGTTTGCCCCTTGACGAAGAGGCTGATTGTAGTTTTTTGAAACGGGGCAGACTGGTTTTGAATGATCGCCCTTGCAATCAAGACACACATGTATGTTGTGACACCTAGGTTTAGCGCAGCCTCGTATTCCGTTGTAATTGTTGCAAATTTCCCCGCCCTTCGGCCGTATCGTTTGCACCGTTGTTAACATTTGGGACAACAGTTCTCACGCTTTTACCATCGTTCTGGGTGGGACAGAACGCAGTAAGGTGCAACGTACTATAGCAAAACTGGCATGTGTTTGGGCGGCTATTAGCGAAAACATTGCAGAACAAAGTATTGTTCCGTATTGACCAATCGACTAAAATATCATTGTAGCGCAAATGAGCTGCGGCCGTCAGACTAAACTGTTTATGGTACTCATAAAAACCTTTCCCTGGGTATCTTGTCGCCATGTCAACGATGTCTCTTTCATATTTATCGAGTTCTTCTCTTCGTTGTGGATAGACATTACCAAGTATATTTTTGTAAATGCCAAAGGCATTAATAAATTCTCCAATTTTTAGCAATCTATTTAGTCTTATATCTTTACTGCTGTCTTTCCCATCACTCGAAGGGCCATTACAGTATGGAATAAATAACGATGCAAGAACATCCCTACCTGTTATTATCTGGTTGCGGATTGTTGGAGAGATAGTCTCGACCATTGGTAGGGATTCTGCGGCATATTCGAATCTTGTTCGTTTATATGTTCCGATGTTTGCGTTGGTAGTCCTACCAGAAGAAGATGTAGATGGATTCTTGTGTGCGTGAAGCGCTTTTTCGATATTGAAGGTTTCGTGCATTTGTGAGTTTTCCACGTTTGTATCCGTATTTGAAGGCCCATTTTCGGGATATTCATTTTGAATATTCCTAGATTCAGTTGGCGTATTGGTCAAATTGTTTACCTTTTGAGTAAGGGTGGACACATTCTTTTGCAAAGCTCGAACGGTCGATGACAATTTGGATACTAATCCAATTAGTACCCGATTATTACTACCGGCGTTTAAATCCCGCTGATCCCCTATTTCTCCGGTTTCATTGGTGAAGGGGATATCAGGTACAGGTAGTGTTTCGCTGTCTTGAGTTTGTCTTATTGACTGTGGCAGGAGGTTAAGCAATGTTGCCTTTTTTGCCGTCGATGGAAATGACACTCCTCGTTTGGTGAGTTCGCCTTTCAAAGATGCAACTGTGTAGCTTCGTGTGTCTGCATCATACGGAGCAGAACGATTGTTTGCTGCGTTTACACTTTTCTTTGCTGGTGCCATATTGAAATAACCGTAAGTAGTAAAAGGAAAGTTATCCTAAACAGATCAAATAGGTTTTCGACAAGTAAAGTAAAAATATGTCCAATGCTAGCAAGTGCTAAAACATCAATGGTGACGCCATTAATAACACCATTACATGCTTTGGCGGTTTTGATACTTTCGTTTGCTAATAACGCAAGATATGCATTGCTGTTCTTTTTAGTATGTTAATCAAACTTCCGGGTTAATCTAAGCATGGAGAAATTATATTACATGTAATATATTTTCTCTAAGCTAAGAAAAATTATATAGTAATAAGGATGGAATGTAAGTGAACGTGACATGCTTGTCATGTTGATTTTATATGTTGTTTTATTTCAAAATAAAGTGGAATGAAAATGGTGGTTCTTTATTCACGGGTGTGCATATGATTCGTGTTTGTTTGTTCGTTCACTCGTCTAAAAATTAACACAATTATACTGCATGGCGAACGAAATACAAAAAAAACCGGTATTCAATCCAGTATAATTGTAAACTTATCGTCTTTACAAATTAAATATATTATTAATTAATTCTAATAAAACTGAGTTAAGGCTATTTTACAAGCATTATAATCATATTTACTGGGTTTTATGATTCAATTAAAGGAATTTTCAACATTCTCTCTCTAGAATTGTTATACTGAAATACATGCAGCATGCAGGCCTAATATGTACAGTATAAGTTTCGCATTATGTTTGTTATCAAATGTCTGTCTCCTCTTTAAAGAAATATATATGAATGACGTTGGCACCAGTATATCCTATTGCACCAATTGTTATGCCTATGATGTTTATTAGGAATCTCATTGTTTTTTGGGTTTTTTTAAATAAAAATTCCGCTCCTTTAGATTTTTTCTCCTTTTTATATATTTTTTTCCGGCTTCAAATTGATAAATGTTAATTTTCTTCTCAAGATTTTTGTTTGTCAATTGTTGTATGCCCATACATAGTCATGATGTGGCTATATGGTCATGATGTGATGTCATCATGAACATATTTAGGCATGTCACATGTTACTGTCAAATAAAATTTGATAATCTGCACAGGGCTTAATGCTCTTTATCTAGATTTTTTAACCTGATGTAATATTAAATTATTATACAGCATAACATATGCCTAGGCGTTAATAATATACGGGAACATTGTAGTTAGTCTGTCTCTTATACACATCTTCTGTGATTTGTTCTGCATATTATTATTTGGCCTGTTCCTGGAATTTGGTACTTTCAGTAGATGTCGACGGTTTCTACGGTATTCATAGCCATCCTCTGACGTTTTCACAAAATAAGATCTAGGTTCTTTGGCTAATTTAACTACTACCGCTGACCTGTCATAACCTTTCTTTGTCTGCATACGAACCGTGTCACCAGGTGATAGTGTTGGAAGTCGTTTACTTGATTTATCCACACAATTTTTCTGTGACTGCCTCAACTCTCTAAGACGACGTTGAACCAATATAGGATCTAGCACTTTAGGCCTGTCTCTTATACACATCTACTGTATTTAATATGTTGCCTAATGTATATAAATTTGTTTATACTTATATAGGCCGACAGGCCCATTAAACAAAATGCTATTTCATTCGTTTACACACCCTGAGAGAAGCCAATATAAAAGTAGTTTCACCTTGCACTGTGTGGTACTGTTGCGGAACTGGTACCAACAATTGGGGATTAAATAATTTTATTCTATTATTCAGAAAGAATATTGATCAGTCGTTCGATCGGCTTCTTGAGAAAGGGAATTGATTTGAAGCATTCACGCGTTAAAAGTACTATTCTCCGTCATGCACCACGTTATCAGTGCGGTGTACAATTTCACGTAAAAACCGCCTTTTCGATACACAGTGAGAAAGGGCTGTTTATACAAATGGTATCTTGGCCCTGATGTTTTTTGTTCCGCTTCGCTAACTCAGGAGTATTGCGGTAGAATATCAAGTTAATGTAATAAGATCTCCTAGTATGCATTGCTTCTTCAACCACCTTGTTACAGATATAAACGTGTCTAACTTATTTCTTGATCAAAACTGTTTTTATTCATAACAGTTTTTTTCTTAACAGTATTTGTAAGTATCCGTTATAGTTGTATATAAGTTCTAAGTGATATGAATATCAGCAAAAGGAAAACTTTAGTCTGTCTTATTGGACATTCGTTTATTGCCAGATTGGAACACTATGTCAACACTTCGTCATTTTTCGATAATTCGTTTAAGTAGGGACGATTTCAATTGTTCGTTCCGGACAAAAGGTGGTTTAAATTTTCCAAAAACTTCCAAAATTGTTATACAAATTCGAGCAAGTACCGGACATTTGTGTGATACAGCTTGGGGAGAACGATATAGGAAATATCCGACCGGAAAAAATTGTTCGCTTTCTCTTTTGTCCGTGGCAAAGTACTTTGAAGGGGTTGGGGTACTGCGCGTTATTATTTGTCAACTACTGCGCCGGAACCCTGATTTTGTAAATAAGGCACTATTAAACATGTCTTGTTCAACACATGAGGCAACTTTATTCATTACAATCCCAGCGCCATGTCTTCTGGCTCGAGCGCCCTCTATATATTCTAGTATACATTTACATCCTCCCCTTCATAATTGAAATAGTACGTTTGGGGTTTTTATAAATTATTAATACTTATATTATTTTGACTCTATAGTAGAACTTTTCCTTTCTGTTATTGTGATTATCTTTACATAACTTATAGTCTTGATGATTATATTTATGGAGTATCTCATAGGTATTTAGGCGACTTTAAACATGAATAACTTCAACATAACTAAACAATTCAATAATAACTCAAACTTCAAATATTTCCATTAACTGGTTATCCAACAATCATTAAGCACTTGAACTTACTTCTTTTTGTTGTATCATTTGAATTATTAAATTTGGATTATCAATTACTGTACCATAATTGTGTCAATTGAGTCAGTTATTTCCAAAATGTTACTGATTAAGAGCAATGTCTTTGTATTGTATAATCACTGATTAAGTCTTTTGATTCACAACAGGTCACTGCTTAATAACAGTCTCTGTATCGTCGTGGTGGCACAACTGCTCTACCTCCTCTTGTTCGTGTCTGGACTGTGGTATCTGCTGAATGTGTATGTTGTATTTTTCTTTCTGTGTTACCAAACCTTGTATCTGTTAACTATATTGGTTTTGATGTCTGTGATTTGTTCTGCATATTTGGCCTGTTCCTGGAATTTGGTACTTTCAGTAGATGTCGACGGTTTCTACGGTATTCATAGCCATCCTCTGACGTTTTCACAAAATAAGATCTAGGTTCTTTGGCTAATTTAACTACTACCGCTGACCTGTCATACCCTTTCTTTGTCTGCATACGAACCGTGTCACCAGGTGATAGTGTTGGAAGTCGTTTACTTGATTTATCCACACAATTTTTCTGTGACTGCCTCAACTCTCTAAGACGACGTTGAACCAATATAGGATCTAGCACTTTAGGCTTGAGAAGTGCTTCTGTTGTAGGTATTGCATTTTTGGTGCGACAAGAAAGGTTTCTCTGTGCTTGAGATCCAAGTACTGTATCTCTTGGAATATTTCTCCAATTTAGCAAATTATGATGGAAATATGAACCATCTCTAAATGATTTCTCCAACAGCCTCTTTGCTGACTGTACAGCTTTCTCAGCAAGTCCATTACTGCTATGAAAATATGGGCTGCTTGTTGTATGATTGAATCCCCAATTCCGGGTAAACTCTCTGAACTCTGCTGATCGCCCAAGGTCTGCTTGGTACTGGGTATGGCATTAGAGGTTCTCTTTGTTGATGATTCTTGAGACTTTGACAAGTGCTGCAAATGTCAATCATTTTTTCAATTTGGTTATTCATACCTAACCAAAACAAGACATCTCTTGCCCTACGTTTTGTAGGTTCAACTCCCAAATGTCCTGCATGCGCTTGTCTGGCATATTGCTGTTGTAGTTTTGCGGGCACTACAAGTTTTTGTCCCTTTAGGATAAGTCCGTCATCCACTATCAACTCATCACGAAATGGATAATATGGTCGAATATCCACTTCTATATTTCCTACATGGTTATCCCATCCATTGAGAATGATTCTCCGCAACTTGTTCAGGACTTTATCTTCATCTGTTGCTCTTTTGATTTCTTCCAGTCTAGCACTTGATATTGGAAAAACTGATAACACATTATAGTCAATATCCTCGTCACCTTCATCTTTCATATCTTTAGATGGAAGATATGCTCGAGATAATGTATCTGCAACATATAACTCCTTTCCTCTCTTGTATGTCAGAATGTACTGATATTTCTGTATTCTCAGTAAGAACCGCTGGAGCCTTGCTGGTGCTGCTGATAATGGTTTCTTTACTATTGAGATTAGCGGTTGATGATCCGTTTCAATTGTTATTTTCTTTCCATATATATAGTCATGGAATTTAGTACATCCGAAAACAACTACCAGCAACTCCTTCTCTATTTAAGCGTAGTTTATTTCAGCTTCAGTTAATGCACGAGAAACAAAAAGCCACCGGTTTGCCTTCTTGTAAGCATGCTACTCCAAGTCCACTCTTTAATGCATCACATGACAACGTAACTTCTTTTTCCACATCTAATATTCTAATGTTGTTGCAGTTGTTATGCTGTTCTTTATTTCTTCAAATGCAGTCTGTTGTTGTTTGTACCAATGCCATTCATGATTTTTCCTCAACAAATCATTGAGAGGTTTTGCTTTCCCACTCAAGTTTGGGACAAACTTTGTCAGGTACTTCACCATCCCCAAAAATCTAAGCAGGTCACTTGTATTGGCTGGTGTCTGCATTTCAGTGATTGCCTTCACTTTTGCAGGGTCTGGTTGCAATCCACCATTTGATAGTATGTGTCCTGAGTAAACAACACTTGATCTCTTATACTGCACTTTGTGTAATGCTAGTTTCAGGTTTATCTCTCTAATTCTTTCAAGAACTTTTTAAAGATTTGCATCGTGCAATCCCTCTGTACTACCAGCTACTA